GTCTTTGAGGCATGTCGCTTCATAAGATGCTTCGTTACTTTGCAATACACATCAGAATTCCACATCGCATAACACAATTCACAATGGGCTTTATTGCGATGAGCATGATGCTGTTGATGATGGTCAACAACAACCGGTGATAGGTGGTTAGTAGTTGAAATAACAGGTGACATTCGCTGGACCTTCAATATAGAACACTGGACCTCAACTTCTTCTCCTCCAAGCGTTGGACTTCCGCCGATTCAAGGTATAGATTTCCTCTTCGGAGATAAATAAAGCTATATTTATAGACGCCCTAGAGTGATTCTCTTGATTAAATGACAATTTATAGACATTTGAGTGTCTTTGTGACGTCGAAATTGAGTGATTTTTGGCTTGTTGGGTTCAGGTTATCTAAGCACCCGATTTTACTACAAGCTTGTCAAATTTAGTATTTTTTCAATCTTACAATTGGCCATTGGAAACTTTAAAAAATAGTTTAATGACTAGATCTAAGCTTGATATACTCATATTGAGTCAATATTGGTGTCATTGCATTCGTTTCGTTGAGTCGTTCAACTTGAGTATAAGTTCATTGAAATCGAAGCTCTAGATGAATGTGCGAAAAAAATTGTCTCCCACACCTTAAGATCCATACCAGATTATAAAAATTTGCTGATGCCATATCAACACCCTCAAAATAATATCAATATTTTAATTTTTTATTTATTTACATACTACAATAATTTCCTTTTATTAAAATCCATGCATGTTATAGCAGAACATGCATGTATAATTTAATAAGCTTATCCTGTCGCATATGTAGATGATAATATTCTCAAATAATTTTTTTTGTTTCCTACCAACATTATAAAATCATCCATTGCAGCTGGTTCTTCCATTTCAGCCTTTAACATACAGCCTAAATATAGCATCTCTCTTTCCCATTGGTAGCTTTTCAGGTTCTTTTTCTGGTGTACTTTGGTTTGAAGCACTCAAGTAGAGAGAGAGAGAGAGAAGGAGAGGAGGAGAGGAGAGAGAAAAAGGTAGGAGAGATTATTTTCTTGTAATCGTCGAGGTGATCGGCGGGTGTAATCATCAGATTAATAAAATTTTTTTCAGCTCTGTTGACGTAGACAATTTGCCAAACCACATAAATCTGTATGTTTCACTGTGTTTTCTATTTACGAATTTTTCTCAATCCGACCGTAAAAAACTATTATTATTATTACTATTATTTTCATTACTATTATTAAAAATTTTAAACTAAAATAATAAGAAAACAGAAGAAAGAACGCCATGGTGCATAGATCATCATCAGCTTATAGCTGTGGTTAAGTCATCATTGATTAAACTTTCTCAAAGCCAAACTTCTTTCGTCAATGGTTGCTAAGCACCGTTCAGCCTCCTTTAAAAATTCAATTAATTAAAGCGGCATTTACATACATACCACCTTATTTTAATGTATTTACATGCATAAGTGTAATATGCAAATAACGGTAAACTAGGATTTCATAATTAAATTCTATCTCGCTGAATCGAGCTCACATGTTGAAGAGATTGAGTCTAGCTGACATGCCAAAGTGGCTAAGAGAAAGTGAACAAGGAAACAAAGCCTCTTGCCCGGGACCAGCGAACAAAAGCATCTCGCGCAAACAAAGTCTCTCATCCGTATCAATAAAGGACTGCTAGAAACTAAGGGAATTCGATTGACGCATTTTCGTGGCCACATTTCTTTTTTGTATTTAGTCTCTCATTATTATCACGGTTTTGTTTCGAAGAAGTTAGAAGCTTAGGGGACTTGTGTATATGTCAAAAAAATGTGCTTGATTTTCTTTACCATCGTGTAGATATTAAGACCTTAGCCTATGATTCTTAAGAGATAGAAAATTGAATAAAAATGGATTTTACGTCAGCTGACTGGCCTAACGACCACAACCACCAGACAGACAGTTGAATGTTCGCCGACAACTAAATGTCTGCCAGACAACCAATTGTTTGTCATACGACTTGAGAACTTCCAGAAGGTCAAAGGTCTGCCAAACGTTCAAATATCTGCCAAATGATCGAAGAACGCCCAGACAACTAGAGGTCTGCCAGATGACTGCATGTATGTTAGACGACCAAATAGGGAGCCCATAATATGTATAAGGGGGCTTTCTAGGCTCTCATTTTTTGACTTTTTTTATTCAAAGAGAACTTCTCTATCATTCTCTTACCCTTTCTATGTGTTTCTCCCTCTATGTTCCCAACGCTCTATTCCTTTGGAGTGATTCACATGACAAATTTGAATTCAATATATGTGTGCGCGTATGCTCGAGCGCGTGAGCAAATTGTGTGTATATATGTGTGTGCGCGCGAGAGAGAGAGAGAGAGAGAGAGAGAGAGAGAAATTAATGAATAACATAGCTTAATGAGATTGAAATTTGTAGTATATTTTTAAAATTAAATAATTATATAAATAAAATAAAATAAAAATATTAAATATAAAAATACATAAAATGTTAAGGGCTCATATGCACCACTTAAGTTTTTTTTTTTTTTTTTTTTTTTTTTTAAATTTTTATTTAGTTTTTTTTTTTCATGCTTTATTTTTAAATAAAAATTAATTTATTTCTAAAAACTCTCAAAATCTCTACACAGCATTTTAACTATTTTTAAAAATAATTAAAATTGTTATATCATTATTTTAACCTCTTCCTTTGATTTATATTGGCATTATTATCAGGTCTTCTAACTTAGTTGTTGCTGATTATCAAGTTGTTATGGATAAGCTTCGTTCTTTTTTAGCAGATTGGAAGCATAACAACCTTTTATCTTCAGTGGGTAGACTTTAATTTGTTAAATTTGCTATTTAGAGCCATTTTTTATTATTGGTTTTGATCTTTTATCTTGTCCCTTGACTTGCAAAGAAAATTTCTTCTATCATTAGTAGTTTTATTAATCATAACAATAATAACAAGAAAATGCATGTCATCGGTCAGAATAAAATTTCGTCAGCTTATACGAAGCCGCGTTTGAGTTTTTACACTAAACACAGGTCGCGGGCCGCGTTTCGGGATAAGCAGCTTATCCTAAAACACGCAAGCTGCCCCAAACACACCATAGTGTAACAAAAATCATTTTATGATGTTTTGGAAAGATATTATTAAAGCTTTGAAAATAAAATCTTCTATTAATGTTAATACTAATAGTGATTTGATTTTCTTTTATAATCATTAACTTTATGGATCTGCTCTTATTATTTATTATGAAGAATCTATGTTTTCTTGGTTTAATTTTGATAAAAATACTAAACTTCTTGAAGGTATTAATACCGGTGCTTGGAATTTATCTACTAATATTTTTGCTCGTATTCAGCACATCAAAACTATTTATAGCACTTTCATTATTAATATATTTTTGCTCTTATCTACCATTAAAAAATAAGAACATCTTATTCCCATGAGGATATTTATTGCTTCATTTATGAAAATTTACCTTATGTGGATTGATTTAGACTGATTTGGTTTAAGTTTCATTGCTTATTATTTTTGTGTTAGTGTTGAATTCTATTATGCTATGTGTTCTTGATATTTTGAACTGATATTTCTGTGGATCATAGTAATTTAAATATATTTGATTTAAATTTTTTTTTTTTGTGTTTGGTTTTGCTATGATGAATTCTATAGAAATATTAAAATTTAGAGTCTCTGGGGCAGCTGCAGCTTATTGAATAATTTGCTGATAAGTTGATTATAAATAATTTACTGATAAGCTAGACACGGTTGCAGTTACAGATTTTTATTTTTTTGGAAAAGTCAAATCGTAGTAAAAAAGCTGTCACATCACCTAAATAGGTGCGGTGTGAAAAAGTTATTTTCAGATTTTTGAAATTTTTGAAAATGCATAAGTTGTCAAAACATAATTTACCTAAACAGACCCTAAAAATGGGCCCTCAATTGTATTTTAAATAGTTTGGCTTCACAGATTGTTAATATTTAGAAAGAATTTTAATGATTTTGCAGAAAACAAAATAAAGCTTTATAAATATTTTAAAAATATTTACTTCCCTTGGCCAACTGCCATTGGGCCCACCATGGCCACACAGAAGGCTACACGGCGACCTGATCTCTTCCTATGCCAGCACGGCGGATCCTTTGCTGCACCCACACTTGCACTCTAGCCAGTCGGCACGTTTCCATATCCCTCATTTCTCTCTTCATCTCGGTGGAGTAACCAATGCTTCCCCTCCCTGCAATCCCTATAACCGTCATCCCGTGCCTCTCTCATCCCATACCTGAGCTTGTTTGATGGCGGATAACTCCGACTCCGCGAGCGCCGTACTCCTTCACGGAGAGCTTGACGTATGGATCCTCGAAGCTCGCCGCCTCCCGAACATGGACATGCTCACCGAGCACTTCCGGCGACTCTGCGTCCCCTGCGGTGCCGTCGTTCCCCATCGCAGCGCCGATCGGCACCATCCTCATCACCGCCGCTCCAAGGTCATCACCAGTGATCCATACGTCACTGTTAGAGTGGCTGGGGCCACTCTCGCCCGCCTGATCTCCAACTCAGAAAACCCCATTTGGAACGAGCATTTCGTCATACCTGTCGCCCACTCCGACGATAAAATCCAATTTAGCGTCAAGGATGACGATATGTTTGGCGCTCAGCTCATCGGTACCGTCTCTATTCCTGCCGCTGATATCATCGCCGGCGAAATCGATCACCAATGGTTCCCCATTCTCGGATCCAGTGGGAAGCCGCCGAAGCCGGAGAGTGCTCTGCTGGTGTCCATTAGGTTTACCTCCATGTCGGAGACTCCAGAGTATAGGCATGGTATAGCCGGGGATCCGGAGAGGAAAGGGGCGCGGAATACCTATTTTCCTATTAGAAAAGGGGGGTTGGTGACGCTTTACCAGGATGCTCATGTGAGGGAGGGGGAATTGCCGGAGATTAGATTGGACGGTGGGAGGGTTTTTAAGCATGAAAAGTGCTGGGAGGATCTTTGCCATGCTATATTGGAAGCTCACCATTTGATTTATGTTGTTGGTTGGTCGATTTACTGCAAGGTGAGGCTGGTAAGAGAGCCTACTCGACCGTTGCCAAGCGGCGGGGATCTTACATTGGGGGAGCTTCTCAAGTACAAATCGCAGGAGGGTGTTCGAGTGTGCTTGCTCGTTTGGGACGATAAGACTTCCCATGACAAATTATTCCTTAAAACGGTAAGTTGGTTAGATGAGTTCCAATTGCTTTGGTTTCTTACAATGTTTGCTTTCCGATGAAAACTCTTTCTGTTTGTAGAAAAAAATCAGAACTCGATGTGTCTGGCGTTTCTTTACTGTTCCACTGAGTTGTTCCTTCTTTTTTATTTTTGGCTCTTCTTTTTTTTTTGTTGGGCATTTACTTACATACCACCCAATTTCTTTGTTTTTACATATCGAACATCTAAACTTCTTTTTTTGCATTTATACCACCTAAATCATTTATATGGAACAAAAAAAAACACTATTTTGATTTTGAAAATGTGAAATAAACCTTTTCATGCATAGGTGAGGTGGCATATATGTATATATGTAAAAATTGAAGTTTAGGTGATGGACACTGGAACTGAGTAGTTTGTATGTAAATCTTTCTTTTTTATTATTTCATGTTTGGAATTATTGAAATACATGTATTTATTTATTTATTTTCTTTTTTTCAACACTATGCTTATTCTAGTTCTAAAACATGATAATGGTCGAAATGTATTCTCTTGAAATTTTTTGATTAAACGTGCAAAACTAGAATTTTTGTAAAATGCAACTTCAAGAGAACCTAATAGAGATTTACACTTGAAATACAAACCACAACATTGTTAGTAACCCATTTGATCAAAATCTCATAGTTTGCTGGTCTATGATATTTGGAAGCTTTTGAGGTATTTATTTAGCGTTACTTGTAGCAACATTTAAATTACTTTCTTTGTGAAATTAAAATTTGTGAATATCAAGTGTAATATCTGCAATTAAGTAGTTTATCCCATTTAATCAAATTCTCATAGTTTATTGGTCTATGATTTTTGGAAGCTTTTGAGATAGATATTTAGCCTAGCATTATATTATCTGCAATTAAGTTATCTGCATTATCAAGCTATTAGCATTATTGAAGTCTTTGATAATTTCCTAAAAAACTCAAGTTTATTTCCCTAAAAAAATTAGTTTTTTCCCTGCTCCTCATCACATGGGTTATGCATGCAAATTGCATGAAATTAGTTTTTGATAAAAGTACACTTCACTCGAATTGTGGGTTATTTATCGAGCAAGTTTTTTAATTGTGAACTGGAAGGATTCGAGTTTGATTTTATAAATAGCCTCTTGAAGTTGTAAAACTAATGGATACGTCATTGTTTCTCAAAATTAAAACTGGAAGATGACAATTAATTTTTTCACTGTAGCAATTGATTTTATACTAAAAGGTTCTGATTAGGATGGTTGGATCGATGGTCCATGGGGAGCTCACGCCATAGAGGTCACATGCTAAGTTTCATCAAGGCCTATAGATAGGGGCATAAGGGGAAAAAATGCATTGGCCATGTTCCTCAAAGCATGTAGAGTTGGGATGGATGGATATTTGAGAGAGATTCTAGTTATTTGATTCTTAATATCAATGTAGAGTTGGGAAGCATGTAGAGTTGAAATGCATTGGCCATGTTCCTCCTACGATTACTGCAAATATTCAATAATTTAATTGAAATATCTTCTTCTTGTTATTTGGTTCTTAATGGGATTTGAGTTTATTAAAATCATACAAGCCAATCCAAGATTTCTTCTAGTTCTAGTGAACTCATTGCTGTACCTATTGCTATTGATTTGACATTTATTAGCATGGAAGCAATGTTTATGTTAGTACAAATAAGTTACATTCTTCTATTAATATTCCAATAATTCTCGATAATTTTGCAGGCAAGAATGGTTTTTGGAGAAGGGATTCAACCTTTTGGTTGATGGGTGCTTTATTATACTTGTGCAATTTTTGTTGTTGCACATTTTTTATGCATCATCTGTACACTTCTAAATGCAGTGCATTGCATTATTTTCAATGTGCAATGGCTTATGTTTTTTAGTGCACCTTGATGTACGCTTTATGATGCATTGTTCTGAACACATTATGACTCACATGGTGTACACTTTTTGTGTGCATCACTTGCACACTTTTTGGCCAACCGCTCCTTATTCTTTGACTTGCTATGTTGTATACTTTTGTGTGCATCACTTGCACACTTTTTGGCCATCTGCTTTCTATGCTTTGACGCATCAATTTTTTTATTTCTGTTCGTAAGTTACCTTTTTGCATTCCAGTTGATTCATTGAAGTTTGCTTAAGAACAATTTTGATTCTTTTATTTGTATTTTGTGCATTGAACAATTTTGATTACTTATTATTTGCTTGCATGCTTTATTATCAAATTTTCTTGTTCCAATTTTTTTGGTTAACAATCATTTATTTGTAAGCACACCCCATCATTCTTATTGTTTTTGTGCTCTCTTTTTCCTCCAAAAATTTGGGAAATTTTTGACAGTACTTTCACTCCACGCTTGTGAAGGGATTGAGGAGTAGGCTACTTTGCTTGCCAATCAAGGCTTTTTGGGTGTGTTGTTTGGGGGCAACATGATCTATGAAATCCATCAAACCACATCATTATATTAGTATTTTAAGGGACTATTTTCTGCACAATATCAGCTAAAAGCATTTCTATATTGCATTAAAATTGTGTGAACGACTTGCACTGGAGAGCTCAAAGTCTCCCTCTCATTATCTATTCATGGACGCAAGGATTTTGCTATCAAACAACCAAGGTAGTCATGGACGCAAGGATTTTGCTATCAAACAATCAAGGTAGTGAGTGAGGGAGTTAGGTTGTCAAGAACTAGTTTGAGAATAAGTGAGTGAGAGAGAGTTGAGGTTATAGTTTTTAAATGTGGGCATCTGTGCGTACATGTATTTTTTTAAATTCCCTTTTTAACTTTTTCCCCCATTTTGTTTGAATAGAAATATGTGATGTGTGTGTATTATACATACATACAAAAAAAGATGTGATGCATGTTTGCAGATTTCATTTCTTGCTTTTGCCTGTTATTTCAATGCGAATGGATGATGACAGGCTATTTAAATGTGCTAGCCTTTGCGAAATTTATATTGTACATATTGAGTATTTAAGCACTTATATGCAGCATTAAAGGTTATGGAATTCTTTACGGCTCATTACATCTAGTTTGCGAGGTGTAGCTAAAAATGATGGATTAATGTAAATTTTTGCTCAAAGATTTTGAATCATGTGAAGCATGCCCATGCCTTTTTTTTTTTCATGTGAACAATCCTTTTATATAGTGCATTGTGGAGAAATGGGTTTAAATAAAAAACAATTGTATATTTCAATTTTAAGTGTGGGAGGAACTAGCATGTGAATCAGAAAATGAGATGATCGAAGGAGAAATTGCTATCATAGATATGTTATTTTGTTTTAGTTGTTGGCTAGAAATGCTTTGTTGAAAAATAATATTTTCAAACATCTTTTCATTTAAACTGTAGTTGAATTTTGTAATTACATGATTATATTGAATATTTGCATCGATATTGTTTGTTTGTGGTTGAGCTAGGCGTAGAGCAAAGCATATGTAAATTCATGTTATTCCACGAGATTGGTCAATTATTGTGATTCCTCAAATAAGGATATGTTTTTTTATCATGTAAATTCATAGTATCTGATGTTCTAATTTCATAATCCTCTTTCATGTTCTATAATTTCGAAATCTTTATTCATATCATATTCTCATTTAAAGCTAACGACCTCTGTTATATCATGCAGTTCCATCATTGGGTGTCTGCATGTTTTTTCTTTTGTTTTTTGCTCTAAATAAGCTTCTTGACTGCCACTTAGGCATTTTATTTAAGCAATATTTGCAAGGAACCTCCTATCTTAACTTTTTTGAATAATTAATAGTGCATTTGGGACGGCGGTGCGACAGTGGTGTGAAGCCGCACCACAATTTATTCTTTTTGGTAAAATAGTTTTTTGCCTATATTATCAAAAAGCTACAGCTAAAAGCTGCGTTTTCCTATTAACCTGGCTACATGCGGTGGTTGCTAGGAAGTTGCGGTCTAACTTTTTCAAAAAAAAAAAAACCATAACTTTTTAAATAACAACTTCTTCAGTTGCTTCAGAGCGGCTTCTTCAAACAGCTGCAGTTGCCCCAAACAGACTCTAAACTATACCATGTTTGAATAAGAGGACTAGCCGAAATTCATTTGCCATAATTTTTCTTATTCAGCACCAGCGACTATATACATGTTTTTTTTTTTTTTGCCATGCAGTCTAAAATTTAATGAATAGTTTTTGAGATTCACTTAAAAGTTAGAATATTACAATATTAGAAGTGAATCAAGGGTTGAGTTTTTAATAAATTAGTAACAATTTTCACCAATTGACTTAAATGTTTGGATTGATGGGTGTCCATCCACTAATATATTGGGCTCAGTTTGGTTACCTAGTGTTTAATTCTCTTAGAACGTTATATACCTTGGAATTTTGTGACTCATATTGGACTTGGGAACTTGTATGATGTCAAGAAAGTTTCAAAAGTGGGTGTCATTCAATTATACTTGATATGGTTGGGTGGGCTTTTGATGTCAATATAATTGATTATATTATAAAGCTTTTGTTAGAGAGAGAGGATGAATGATATAAAAAATGTTTGTGGAGAGATTGTGAGATCTACATGAGAGTGAAATTCACATTAAAGTTGAAACAAGAGTTGAATTCCTAATATATTAATGTTGACTTCTGTCCATTGGCCCAGCTGTTTGAGTTCATGGTGCCCATTCACTATTAAATTGAGCTTGACATCGGCCCCCATGATACATTCTCCTATGAAAGTTCCCATATCCACGTTCATCCTGTCTAGTGTAACTTTGTTTTCTTTCAGGTGAATAATAGGTCTAATTGTTAGTCATTAAATATTTAAATTCATAAAATTTGATTGAGATTTTTATTTTTCATGCAAGCTCATGCTAATTTTGCTTTGTAATTATTTTTAAATTTTAACGCTCTATAAAATGGATGTTGATTCTTTATCCATGATTAATTTTGACATCTTGCTTATTTTGTGCAGGCAGGTGTTATGGAAACTCATGATGAAGAAACACGAAAATTTTTCAAACATTCATCTGTTATATGTGTGCTAGCTCCTCGTTATGCCAGCAATAAACTTAGTATTGTCAAACAACAGGCAGGTCACTTGCTTGTTTTGATCATTGCACCTCTAATTTGCTATCTTATATTTCTGGATGATCAATCTATTGAAACCATCTTATTTTTATCTTTTTAAATTTAGTTTAATATTTCCTTGAATCTTGTTTTTATTGTTTTGTATGCACGCTATGCGGATAAATAAAACTTTAGAATACTTGGAGAACCAGGATATGGAAAGACACCACTCAGTTTTGAGAGGCTGATTGTTTTTGTAGCCATTTTTAATGTTCATTTTCAATTTTTGTTTCCCTATATTAAGTTCTTGCCTTTAGGTTGTATTTATTAACGTATTAATCTTTTAGAGTTTTACTTACAAGTTTAACTGTTTTGTTTTGCCATAGTTGAATTGGGGTTTTGTTTTTGTTTTTTATAATTAATTTTGGTATTTAAGTGTTTAAATTAACTTGAAAATCATTTAATTACATTATAGATTTTTCAGAAAAATAATTGTGTGGATTCAAAATCCCTATGAGGTCAAGCAGGACCTTTGACAATTAAGTGCACGTCTTGTGCAAATTTAAAATGATTGAATTAATGCTTGATTTCAACTAGCAATTATATATACTTATAATGGTATGATAACTGCTGGACAAGATTCAATGCACCACCTGAGTTCATGGGACATTGAATTGCTTGAATCAATGGTTGAACCATTCAGGAAGGCCGGCAAACTCCTTTTCTTGATTGCACGTGTGGAGAGCTTAGTTGCCGGTGACAATCCCTTCCTAATTGAGCTACAATGGATTTGTTATTATTTTTGGTGTTATGAGAGGGCACCCATGATATTGCAAATTTGAATTAGTCTTCCATACTTGGCTTTCTCCCTACCAACAAATGTAGTTCTGTTTGACGGACGTTCTTTCTTGCCCAAATTGTCCATACGTGGTTTCTCCTTCATGATGCTAGCTTTTTTGGCTTTCCATTTGCAAATTCCTTTTTACTCATGACCATAATGATTGCTAATTTTTCTATTTTCGGGACTTTAACTTTCCCTTAGTTTCCTTTCACAGTCTTTGTTTTCTCGAGCTTTCAAGTTGTTCTTTCTAATAGCAGATTTCCTTTATAGTTCCTTTGGCATAGGGCAATACATTTACATCTTTTCCTAGCTTTCCTTGTATACTATTTGTGTTTATTGTTGAATTTTTTTGCCTATGTTTGGAATTGAGATTCCATGTGTCGAAATTTGAGAAACTTCTTGTTTTTGGCCATATTTTGATAGATTCTAACAAATCATCACATTTGAACCTTTTTTTATGTATGAATGGAAGTCCTTAGGCATAAAATGATACTGGAGTTAACCCAAACTACAATAGAAAAAACAAATATTATTATTGAAAGCAAATAGGTGGTTACAATCAATACACTTGAAAGTAAAAATACACCACAAATGACACACAAACTCATGTTAGGGCAAATCCTGGGCGATGGTGGTGACGGTTACGGGTGGCTTGGAGAGGCGGCACCAAGGTAGGGAAGGGGTTTATGGATTGTGGACGAGGAACGACAACGATTATGGGCGGCTGGAAAAATAGGGCCACGTGGGACGACACTCCAAACTGCAGCAGTTTGCCATTTGGGGCGGTTGCGGCGGCGACAATGGAAGGTTGGGACAGGAAGGGCAGTGAGGAGGAAGGGCTAGAACAGCAATGGAAGCGAGTATGGGGCGGCTGGAAGGCTGTGACCTGTTAGAAACAACAAGAGGGAGGGCTGACGGTTGATTCAAAAGGAGGATAGCAGGTATTGTGGAAGGCAGGACGTTGGAACAGTGATGGTGGCAAGCGGGGACGCTGGAATCACATGGAACTTGGGCTGGAATGCAGAAATTGCAAGAGAGAGATATGAAAGGGGAATAGGGAAGTTAAACCACCTCGGCAGAGAGATATAACTAGACCACCTCCCATTTTTTCGGATACAGTCCTCAAAGGGGAAAACAGACACAACGACTGCCCTGACAGAAATCTGAGCCAAAACTAGTTTAAACACAAAAATAACATATTTATAGACTTAGGGTAAATAGGAATGGACCCCAATCCCAATAGGAGGGAAATCCACTTAAAGGAATGGACTAGTCCAAGCCGCCCTTGCTCAAGGGAGTTTGTAGTACTGTAGCAATGGTCCCAAAAAAAAGCTTCCTGGGCCTCTCCCGTAGCATATAATATTCAATTAATGATTCAATAAAGTTCCAGATTGATATAATATTTTCCTTATACCTGCTCAAGGCTTTGATCTTCTATTGAGCGATTTCTATTTGCTTTTTCAAATTCACACAATTGAATTTCAAATATTTAACTAGTCTGAGATGATTTTTTTTTTAATTCGGGCAAAATTATACAAATTTAAATTATTTTCTATGCTTGACTTTCTATATGTGAAATTATGGTTTTGTTTTGTTGTAGGCTTCTTTCTATAGCTTTTTACTTTTTGTGGTTTGTTGACCTCATTTTTAGTGAGGTCTTAGTCTTCTACTCTTAGAATCTAGGATCTAGCTTTAGGAGTTCTTATTGACCATCCTAGCGGACTAGCAATGGAGCCCACCTCCCGTAGAATTTCAAGCCACTTCTTGACTCATTTTTGTGAAGAACTCGCTTGAGTGGTTCGAAGCACTCAACTTTTAGTTGCAAGGGCTAAGGACCAACATGTAGAGGGTCCGAAATTGAGTTCCTATAGGATCAACAGCCTTAGGTGAACCCTTTGTGACTCGATTACTTGCGAACGCCGCATTTCACACACTCACTGCATCACACACGATTTTGACTTAAATCGACTCGCCCGTCGGCGAACTCGTCCGGACGACCCCGGATGACGAAACGGACCGCGCCGACGCGTCCGGAACGTCGACTTTAGTTAGAAATGACACCCATATTTCTAGGGTTACATACGCACACACAGTTTGCACGGAAATCGATGCACGATAGCGGGCGTGGGCCCGGGCTCAACCCAGGTTCATTTCGAGTTTGTCTTGGGCTGGATATGGGCTGAACACAGGCTTCTTGACTCAGCTTATAAGATTTTGAATTTCAAATTTTAAATTTTAAATTTATCATTTAATCTCCCATTAAGCTTTTCCATTTAAGTTGACTGCCTGGAAGGAAATCATTCAATTCCACGTTAATGCTTCACGTAACGGCTCTGAAATTTTTGGCTATACAGTTCAATTCGCC